TTTTTTTTTATCAATTGGTTTTCTATATATTAATGTACTTATTTCAATATATTTAAAAATTTAGGGAGAGCAAAATTAGTTGCACGCTATGAAGCGATTATGTTGACAAGTTTCTGGAATTGAAGGCCCAGTATGCTGGTCGGACTAATCCTTAGGTACTGATTGTGAATTTTTGTCGCGCAAAGCCGTATGAAGGTAATTGTTCTCGAAATTAAATTTTTATACTCTTCGATTTATTGTAAATTCAAGAGATATTTTGTATGTTACATTTATTGTATTTGGATCTCAAATAGCAAATGTGGGATTGACACTCACGATGTGACACGACTTATTTCCTTAGAGTCTGTTTATGAAATTGAAGACTTCCGGATGAGGTAAGATTTTTTTTTTGTTGCTATTTATTTAATTGTATTTCTTATAAACGTTTTTTTTAATTATTAATATTAACATATTTGTTATAAGACTTGGGAATGAACATGTTCGCCCTTCGGTGGTTAATTCGAGGATTTCAATTGTGGCTCGCGATGAAATTGACGAACTTGTAATGGAAAATGTTGTGGTTGCTTCTGTCAATAGTCTTTACGAAATCGAGCGGGTAATTAATGTCGTTATATATATAATCAACTATAACATAAATTTTATATTTTTGTTAATTTATTAAATTGAAACTTATATTTTATATATTTTATTATAAGGAAACAAATACATGAATTTGTGCTACTATTCAATCTGTGATTGATGATTGGTACTTAGCACTGTCAAACGGGTCGGTCCGGCCCGACCCGCGCTAGCCTGCGGTTCAAACGGGGCGGACCAAAATGGCCCGCATTTCTACGGGCTGGGAAATCCATAGCCCGTGGCCCGCCCGCATTAGCCCGCGGGCCAAATTGGCCCGCCCGCAGGTTTTATATTTATTTATTTTTTATGGTATTCGCACTCTTATATATTTTTTGGTTTGTTTATCCTTATATTTACTAGTATATAAATAAACTAGTAAGGTTTCATGTGTAATGATGTTAAATATTTGTCATCTAGTTTTTATTTTTATTTTTTTTTATCAATAGGGTATTCACGCGCAGGAACGACTTAATTGACATAAAATATTATTTGATTTATTAATATTTTTATTATGTAAAAAAAATGTTTCATGTGCAAGCATAGTTTTTAAACCCGGCCCGGTAATCGACCCGGGCAGGTCTTCGGGTCACCGGGTCACCGGTTCAACCGCCGGGTCACCGGGTCAATTGCTGAACCAGATAATTAATTTTAAAATTTATAAAATTATATATAGAGTATTTTGTGATATATAAATATACATAAAAATAACAAATTTAAATATTTTGTATGTAAAATTTGTAGATTAAAGTGGTAATAATATGTATGTATTTATATTATAAATATATATACATAATTTTATCTTTTTAAAAAGAAAAAGAAAATTAAAAAACAAAAAAAAAATAAAAAAATACATATAGACCGGGTCAACCGGGTTGACCCAGCCGGGTCAATGCCCCGGGTCGGCCGGGTCAAGGCCGAGTCAACCGGGTTTTGACCGGGTTTGACCGGGTCCGTTGTTTCCCGGTCCAATTAACCCACCCGGACCGGTTCCGGCTCCAGGTCGACCGGGTCCCGAGTCGACCCGCTGGTCCGGTCCGGGTCACAAAACACTGTGTGCAAGTCAGAAATTAAAAGTAAAATAAAAAATACTAAATTAAATAATATAAAATTAAAAAAAAAACGGGCCAACCCGCTGGCCAATCAGGGCGGGCTAAATAGGCCTGCGATTGAACGGACTGGCCAAGCAAAGACCCAAGCCCGTCCGTTTAAGCGGGCGGACGAGCCAGCCCGCGGGCACCGGCCTGTTTGACAGTGCTACCGGCCCGTTTGACAGTGCTATTGCTACTGCACATGCCGCAAGTGTCTTAGTAATAATGCTCTCCGTTAAGAACAAAACTAAACAGTGAATAATTTTATCAAGAGAATAATAACAAGCACTAAGCAAGAAACATAACCCTTTGTGTTGCGCCGCCTTGAGCGAATCACACGGATTCTCCTTCGCTCACAGCCTCGCAGCTAAATCTTTGCCCACAACTGTTAATTTCAGCAGGACCTCTGTAATTTTTTTCGCAATTTAGCTGTTCCCAGTATCCCTTATTGTCTGGAAAGAAAAATGGCGACAAGGGTTGCTTTGAAATTTATGAAGGAGTGTTGTATTCGTAGGAACAAGGTCCAATTGAACGATAATCGCAGGCGTTATTTCTGTGCTGCTGCCTCAGCTGGCGCCGCCAACACTCCACCCCAAATTCCCAAGAAAGTTCCTCATTTTTCGAAAAAGGCAATCTTCTACCTATGTTGTTAGTTTCAGTGTAGTATGTTGTGTTGCTACCCCGTTGTGGCTATTGTAGAGCTCTAATTGCTCTTTTCTTGTGTAATCATGCAATGTTTTTGAGGAATATGAAAAGGGTTCATGCCAAAAGCGAATGAATGAGGAATCTTGCTTAGTTGATATCATGGTTTGGGGTTGCAAGGCACTTGCATTTCATGAAAGACAGTCCTTTTTCCTTCTATTATATCAGTTGTTTGAGCTTCTTTTTTTCTTTTTCTTTTTTCCCTGTTCAGTTGATGTATTGCTTCTGGACTTTAGTTACTTAAGGAAAGCTTTGAGCTATTGAACTTGTGTTTGTTCTGTTTCGGTTTTTCACGTGTCTGGTCCAGTTAGAATCTAGCGTAATTCCAACTGCTGTGAATGTCTGAAAGGAAGTGCTATGAACTTTTTATTGAAATGTTAAGATTTTTCATTTGCATTGCAGGGCAGATTATTTACAGGAGCTGCTATAGGGCTGCTCATAGGAGGAGGTGCATATGCAAGTACTGTAGATGAAGCAACTTTCTGGTATGTAATGGATTATCACATTTTATTTCATCATCGTCGTTTTTGTTGTTCTTGTTGTTTGATCGTTAGTTTTTTCATAAAATGCAACTTTGTTGTTGTTGTTGTTGTTGTTGTTAGTTTTCTCATGAAATGCGACTTTTGCTTATATTGTTTACTTGGGAAAGATATTGGATATTGTTGAAGCTTAGAGCTGGTTTCTAAATTAGTAGGAGTTTGAGATGGATACCTTTTACTTTTATGTTGGTGATCTCCGCAACTTAGTTTGTAAAATAGATGCATATATACGTGTCCTGATTTTGTGCCAACTTTTATTCCCGAATACAGGCCAGGGTATACGGTAATACGTTTCCTTTTAGAATTGAAGATGTATATATATATGTTTCTAGGCACAACTTGAAATTATTTCAAATCAAGATCATGGTATTACTCACCTACTCTTGGCCTGAAGCTAGATAAAACCATAAGCATTCGGCCAAAGTGAGTCTTTGTTAATATTCATATCTGGCTAGTTTCTAATCATTAAGTTAGACCTTCAATTTGATCTCTTATAATTCAAATTAATACATTAGCTGCTGCTACTGGGACTAACATAAGATAGAGCAAAGCACTTTTGTGAGGTTTTTAACGTAAGCATTGCAGTGGAGCGAAGGGCGTTAGTTTAGAGGGGAAAAGGGGATATGGGCGAGCTTGAAGCAGGGAGTCAATTAACAAAACAACGAGCCATAGTTTACTAATAAGAATTATTTCGACTAATATAGCTACCCTGCTTATTAATAGAACATTACTTTATGCTCATCATTGTCAAGCCTTTGATTACTCCACATTATTAAGTCATTGCAAGACCTTTACATTTGAATCTGGAATATAGTTTTGATGTATCTAGAGTGGTACAGTGGCTGGCTATTCTCCGCAACAAAGCTCGTGAATCCGTTCTTTGCATTCCTCGATCCTGAGGTGGCTCACCGACTGGCAGTATCTGCTGCAGCCCGCGGGTGGGTCCCTATCGAGAAGAGGCCCGACCCGCAAATATTGGAACTCGAAGTTTGGGGAAGGAGGTTTACCAATCCAATCGGTCTTTCAGCTGGTTTCGACAAAAATGCTGAAGCCGTTGAGGGCTTGCTTGGGTTAGGTTTTGGTTTTGTGGAGGTTGGGTCGGTCACTCCAGTTCCACAGGAGGGTAATCCAAAGCCTCGTATATTTAGACTGCGAAAGGAAGGGTAGGATTGTAAACTTTTGTTTGATCTTGCTTATCTAAAAGCCCAATTTTTACTGCACTGTAAATTTTACTCACCAAGTAATTAGCTTTGGGATATTACAGAGCTATCATCAACAGATGTGGGTTCAATAGTGAAGGGATTGTTGCTGTGGCAAAGCGTTTGGGTGCGCAACACGGAAAAAGAAAGCTGGAAACATCGAGCAGCTCATCTCTCACTGAAGAGGAGGCCATCCATGGAGGGAAAGCAGGTCCTGGTATTCTTGGGGTTAATCTCGGAAAGAATAAGATGAGTGAGGATGCTGCAGCTGATTATGTGCAAGGAGTTCACACTTTGTCTCAGTTTGCCGATTACTTGGTATGCTATCTAATGTTTTTTCATATTTGGTTATATTCTCCAGCATATGGTAAATACTATGATCTGATTTATAGTGTTACGATTGATTTAAGCAGCACCGATTTTGAAGAATCTGTATTGTCAGTAGTATCTGAAAATATTTATTAGGCTAATATACTATTTCCCGTTAAGATGTTAAATCGACTCTTCAAGTTTCATTTAGGATTTATATAAGTTTTTATGTGACAAAGGTGATTTTTGGACAATATTATTTTTAAGAAATGATGTGCTCTTTCTCTCACACACTCTCTCTCTTTTCCATTTACTTCGCTGTCCATTAAAGCAAAGGCCTTATTCTGTAGGTTATCAATATTTCATCCCCCAACACTCCGGGACTGCGGCAACTTCAGGGGAGGAAACAATTAAAAGACCTCGTGAAAAAGGTAAGGGTCTTACAGATTTCTTATTTTACCATATTGACTAATGTACTTTTGGACATTATGGATACATATGAAGCATTAATAGAATTTTCATTCCTTTTTAACATTCGGTAGGTTCAAGCGGCTCGTGACGAAATGCAATGGGGTGAGGAAGGCCCACCACCTTTGCTTGTGAAAATTGCTCCAGACTTGTCTAAACAGGATCTTGAAGATATTGGAGCAGTATGAACATTTATCTTTTTTTTTTTTTTTTAATTTGTAATTATTTAATTGCGTATTATTACTATTTGTCTATTACCACTTACCAGTACAATGTTTTTATTACCTAGTTCTCTGCTGAAATTCATTGAATGAACGTGCTCTCTGCATATGTAGGTTGCTCTTGCTCTTCGAGTAGATGGCTTGGTGAGTTTTTCGTTTCCGCTATAGTTTTCCTTAGCCATTATTTTTTCCCAGTACTTTGTGATATTATCTCCTTGTTCATTATCTTATTCCTTGCTGGCTTCTTGAATAAACATATTAGATCAGAAGCAACTTGTGGTTGCGCTCAGCATGCATTGTGTGATGTTATTTAATTTAAATATTGCTGCATTTTTCATTTTTGCAATACTACTTTAGAAATGAATTATCTCCGTGGGGGATGATTGTGTGATAGAAGGCTTTGTTCGACAAATTTTCAATTTATGTTTGTTAGATCATATCGAACACAACTATTCAGAGACCGGATGCCGTAAGTCAAAATCCCGTGGCTCAGGAAACTGGTGGCTTGAGTGGAAAGCCGCTCTTTAACCTGTCCACAAATATACTCAGGGACATGTATATTCTTACAAAGGTAATTCGATCGCAATATACTTCATTTGCATGGGTTTGAAATGGCTATTATTATTATTATTATTATTATTATTATTATTATTATTATTATTATTATTATTATTATTATTATTATTATATTATTATTATTATTATTATTATTATTATTATTATTATTATTATTATTATTATTATTATTATTATTATTATTTTTTTACTAGCATTATCTCCATAAAAACTGATTAACTTGCGTCTCACCTTTAATACATTTAGGGAAGGATTCCTTTGATTGGCTGTGGAGGTGTGAGCAGGTATCCTCGGTTTAAATTTGTGTTCAATTCACCCATTATTGTGTTATTGTTTGTCGTGAACTTAACCCCCAAAATGAACTGTTCAGTGGAGAGGACGCGTACAAGAAAATACGAGCTGGGGCAACTCTTGTTCAGTTGTATACTGCGTTTGCATATGGAGGGCCTGCCTTAATACCTCAGATAAAGGTAGAAAGATCACTCTTTTTCAAAATAAAATAAATTCTCGAGTGATTAGTGGTGAGCCGAATTGCAGTTTTAGCAGTGTAGTTATTATCAGGACTTCTCGAAATAGTTTTGTCGATATCACACGGAAAAAAACAATAAATGTAAAGAAAAATCTGAGGAGAAGTATCTTGTAATATTTATAAGATCTCTTGATTTGGATCCTAGGGTCACTGTGCGAAAACGTCATGCGGTAGTATTTGAATGCATCTGAAAGGAACATATATAAGATTTTTGCTTGACTATTATGGTCAATCCCTTACAGCTACTGACTTAAAATGCAATTTAGCTTTTTTTGTGCTAGAAAAGTTCTTTATGGGAACATAATTCAAATATTTCCTATGTCTTAACAATTACACAACAATCTTTAGATACTTTAGAATAATTGCTTTAATATCTACACAAATTCTTGCGAGAGGCAACCTAACCGTTAGGTGGGTCTACCCGTCATGCTATTTAAACAAAATACATACTTATACTATCAAATGTCACACTTCTGTTTATGTTGTTTCTTAAAGTACCAACATTTTCTAATGAAAGTATTCGCATTTGGTAGAAAGAGTATGCCGGATTCTGGATTTTTGCATGTAATACATGACTTTTAACCCTATTTTATGATCGTTTACAAATGTTATAAGATACGCTAGTTTTACCTTATGCTATGTTTACTATTCTTTGTTAGGATGAACTCGCAAAATGCTTAGAGAAGGACGGTTTCAAGTCTATTTACGAAGCAGTTGGAGCCGATTGCAGATGATACTGCCTGTCCCCTAATCCCGCACGGGTTTTACTTTACATGCACATTTGTTTGTAGCCCTTTTTTTCCCTGGAATGTACAGCCAGTCGTAGAAGCCCCGGACGCCCTTGATGCGAAGTTTTGATGAGTTTTTTTTTTTTTTTTT